GAGGGGCGGCGGTTGGCACCGTGTCTCCTTTCCCCCCCGCCCTGCAGGCCCACCCCAACCCGGACAGCAACACCTCGGATGCCCTGCTGCGCCAGCTGCGCCTGCCCAACCCCATGGCCCAGCCGGTCCCCAACAAGCCCCTGGACTTCTACACCTGCGCCTTCCGCAAGTCCAAGCTCGACAGGCGAGTGGCCCCAATCTTCTCCTCCTCCTGCCCTCCAAGAACCCGCCTGGCTTCCCCCTGCGGGAGGGGCCTGCGAGGACCCTGCGAGGGAGGGAGCCTGGGGGGGGGATGTTGCCTCCAGCGATCCACCGGCTGCCCCTGCGGGGTGTGTGTGTGTGTGTGTGTGTTGTCTCAGTTGTTGCCCTTTGTGCACCGGCTGGCTCTGGGAAAGGCAGCCTCCCCTCTGCCCTGGTCCCGTCCTGACACTCCCGGCTCTTCCAGGTTTCTGGGCAGCGACTCCCCGGACTCCTACTTCAGCAGCACGCAGAGGCACCGCATTGTGAGTTGTGCAGTGTGGGCTCCACTGGGGATTTGCAGAGGATGGGCCTCTAACCCCTCAAGTGTGACAGACAGAACCTCCACATTCAGGTGGAGTGTACCTGGGAGTAGCCTGGAAGGGGGGCAACGGCGTGGAGAGATTTTGGCCTTCCAGGGGACCTGGGCCACTTAGGGAAGCCGGGAGCTGGGCTGCATGGTTCTGACCCAGCAGGGCTGGGGGGAGGCAAAAGTAGCCTGGTGGGAGAAGGTTGCCTCTCCCCCCCCCCGAAGACACACCCACAGACACACACCCCCAAGCCCCTTCCTCACTGGTCTCTCTTCACGGTCTTTCCTCTGCCCCCGTTGTCCTGTCCTGCTCTTCTGTTGGCAGGTGTACGAGATCCTGACCCGGACTGTCTACGGGAAGAGGAAGCACGCTGAAGTCGGTCTTGACCGGCTGCTGAACGAAGGCGTGTATTCCGCGGCCTTCCCCTTGCACGAGGTGAGGAGGCGGGGTGGGGGGCCACGCTGGGGGCCTGAGAGGCGGGAGGGGCAGCGCTTGAGAGGGGCCGGGGGCTCCTCTGCCAGGAGACTCCATCCTTCGGAACTTGGGAATGGCTGCTCAGCGATGAGAGGGAAAGGCACTCTGCTTGTGCTCGGTGAACTCTTCCTTTTCTCTTACTGCTCCTTTCCCCCAAAGCCTGAATCCAGTCATTGAAAATCTGTCCAGGGGCTCAGCTTTGGCAGAGCCTGGCACCTGGAAGCAATGGCAAATAGAAAGGTAGCAGGTCACACTGCGAGGAGGCGGGAAGATTTGCCTGGCTGTGTTCCGTCTCCCCTTCACCTGGCCCGTGGATGCCCTCTCCCCTTCCTCCTCCTCCTCCTCGTGCAGGGCCCATTTGAGCTGCCGGAGTACGAGGTGCCCGGAGAAGAGCTGAACCCCCGGCAGATCCTATACTGCTTTTGGGCGCAGTGGCGCTGCTGGTACAAGTACCAACCTTTGGACCACATCCGCGAGTATTTTGGAGAGAAGGTGGCAATCTACTTCGCCTGGCTGGGTGAGGAACAGCCGGATCTGCCCCCCCCCCCCCGCCCGCCCGCCTTTTCCTCCTGGGGCGCTCTCCACTTCCCGGGCTCCGAGGGTCTTGGCCCGGGTATTTCCAGGGAGGGCCCAGCTTTCCCTTTGCCCCTCCTGGGCCATGGTGGCAGCTTGTCACCAGGAAGCCCTCTGCACGCACTCCGAGGCTCCGGTCTTTCTGCCTTCCTTTGTGCGGAAGGGAGGGCTGGGTGTTGAACGAAGCCACATCCTCTGTGCAGGTCCAGAGAGAGCCCTGTCTCCCGGTCCCTGAGGGTATCCCGTCTCTCTGCTCTGAGGGGATTCCAGGGCTCAGTCCCTGCCCTGCCTCGGGAGATCAGAGTGGGGCAAAGGGGGAGGACAGATCCAGAGTGGGGACGAGGGAGGGAGGGGGCCTCTTGGAGTGCCCCCCCCCGGGCCCTGCCGTGAACCTTCTCTTGCAGGCTTCTACACCACGTGGCTCCTCCCTGCTGCGGCCGTGGGCACCTTCGTCTTCCTGGCTGGTCTCTTTGCCATGGGGACAAACACGCCAGCGTGAGTGTGGCGGGAGGGACAGGGGAGTTGGGGGGCGGCCAGTCAGCAGCCCTCAGAGCACAGGGCCAAAGCTTTGGGGGGGGCAGGCCAAGAGGAGGGGGACTGGGGGTCTCCCTTGCGCTTGGCCTGGGGGTTTCTGGGTGGGGGGGGTATGCTGGCCTCACTGGCCTCCTCCTCGGCCGTCTCCTCCACAGCCGTTGTGGTATCCTTGCATAGCTTAGTCCTGGTAGCTGACTGGAACCTCCAGGTTCAGAGACAGTCTACCTCTAAACACAGATTGCTGGAGACTGGCTTGCAAGCTGGCCAATCCGACGCTCCTGCCCCTGCCAGGCCCACTTCGTCTGCCAGCTGGGCGCAGGCGTCTCGGAGCCTGCTGGGATGGCTCTGGGGGGGGGGGACCATGGCCACGCTCCGGGAGGGCTTAGCTCCTTTCTCACCCCAAGGTTGAGTGTTTAAGCCCCAGGAGGGGCAGAGGAACTTGTCTAGATGGACGGGGGGTGCCCCTCACCGAAAGCAGCTGCTTCTGCATCCTCCCCCCAGGCAAGAGATCTGCAACAGCGGGGGTCAGTTCCTCATGTGCCCCCTGTGTGACAGCTGTGGCAACTGGAACCTCTCTGAGATCTGCTCCATGGCAAAGGTGCACCGGCCACACTTGCTCGCCGTGGGGTCTGGGGAGGGGAGGGGGGGAGCAGGAGAGAGCTCTCCTTACGGGCTTGCAGCAGAAGCAGCTGCAAGATTGGGGGGGGGGGCGTGCTGGTCCGGTGGCTCTGAAAGTAAAGCACACCTGTCCCGGGCGACCACCCCCTGAGCCATGGGTTCCGAGGTGCGCTGGGCTCAAGAGAGAGAGAGAGACGGCTCTTCTTCCTGTCCTCCCGTCTGCCCCCCCCCCCAGGTCGGCTACCTTTTTGACCATCCGGGGACCGTCTTCTTCAGCATCTTCATGTCCTTCTGGGCTGTGGCCTTCCTGGAGTACTGGAAGCGGAAAAACGCCACCCTGGCCCACCACTGGGACTGCTTGGACTTCCAGGAGGAAGAGGCAGGTGGACGGCCCTTCTGGCTCTCTGGTCTGGGCCTCGCGTGGGCCTCGCGATTTGAAGGCCGGGGGGGGGCGGGGGGCAGAGGCCTCACTGTGGTGGTTCCTCGGCCCGGCCCGGCCCGGCCCGGCCCGGCCCGGCCCGGCCCAGAGGCTGTTCCCTCCTCTTCCTTGGG